AGCGTGAGTCAGCGGCAGCCTCTGCCCAGCAGCACCCTGCCCGGCAGCCCTGATAACTGCTCCGTGGCCATCCGTGTAAGGCAAGGCAGGAGCTTTTGCAGGGGCTAATGCCTCCAACTGGTGCTGTGATACCAGCAGTGGGTGAACAACTCTTTTTTTTAGCCTTAATTGTTAAGCTCATATGGAGTCAGCGTCTGTCCCCTAACCTGCTGCTCCATGGGGCAAGACCTACTGTGTTGGGAAGCCACACGGGACCCTTGTCCCAAACAAATCCGTGGGGAATGGGGTTTCAGTGGCGTTCCTGCTCGGGGTGGGGTTATGGCGTGACTTCCCCGTGCACCCAGCCAGCCCTCCTGGGCTGCCGGCATGGGAGGACTCAGCCCATGGCTATAAATGCAAGGAGCTGCGCAGCCACAGCCCTCCCTTCCCCGCGCCGGAGCCCGTCCTGCTCACGTCTGTAAGTCTCCATCTCCTCCCTCTGATCCCCTTTCCCACCCCCCGAACAGCTGTGACCAACCCGGGCTTGCGTGCCGGGCTCCAGATGTGCAACATGCCCCTTCCAGATGTGGATGCCCCCCCCCCCCCTCCGCTGGAGGCGGACCTGCACCAGTCAGCTCGGGGTTGCGCCCAGAGCCACTGGCAAGTGGAGATGACACAAAGGCTTCGCTTCGTGGGGCCGGCTTTGCCCCCCTCTCCCCTGCTCCAGATGCCCCCTCCACCAGCCCCGGGGCTGCGTGCGGAGGCGGCTGGGAGCCTGTTTGGGCTGTGCCCCGTGAGTCACCCCACAGCCACGGGCCCCAGCTGATGTGACACCTCGGGGTGGATTGACGGGGGGAGGCCGGGCAGCCCCCTACCTGTTTCGTGCCAGACCCTGGGAGCTGCTCTGAGCGGGGTCTGGAGGGGCTTTTTAAATAAACTAAAACCTCATGGATAGCACTGTTGTTTCTCTTGCTGGGTGTGGGTGGAAGGGAGTCAGCGAGGGGCTGCGCCTGGTGTTCACGTCCCCCCAGAGGGATCCTGGCGGGTGCTGGTGATGCTCTGCCCGTCCTTCTGCCCGGGACTCCCACCCAGGCACTGCACCCTGGGCTTTGCAAGGGCTGGTTTGCCAGGAGACTGGGGTTGAAGCTCATCCCCCTGCTCCCCCAAATGGAGGGCACAGGGGTTGTTCCAGCTCCCGAGGTCCAGCGCTCACCTGAGCATCACTATTAGGGGAAAAAACAAAAGTACCCGTCCCTCCAGGCGCAGTGAAACACCTGAGAACGTGGCTGCACCGCACTCGCATCCCAGAGGCAGGTGAAAGGGACCCCCTGCAAGACTTCGGGCCTTTTTATGCCTGATGTGTGAATATTTGAAGGTGGCATGATGCTGTTCACAGGCATCCCAGCCTGCCTGCGTCCATCCACACCCCTGTCCCCTCCCTGCCGCCGTGCCCTTGGGGCTTTACTGGCTCCATCCCTGCGGCACCAACACTCCCAGCCCCACGGCTGCACTTGGCTGCGGAGCAGATACCAACACCCCACGGCAGCTCTTGCACCGGAGCGTGGGCTGCCGTGGCACAGCAGCTGGGCCCCAAGGCAGGGCAGCTCCCCGTGTGTGGGCATGTGGTTTCCGTGGCAGGCTGGGCAGCACGAGGACCCATGGTGCACACCCATCCCTTCTCACCCGCCCCACGGTGTATGCGCGTCTCCTCCCAGCTCCCTACGTGGCGCAGGCGCATCCCTTCACACCTCCCTACATGTGCCGGGTCACGCCTTGCCGACGGTGCACCCGTGTCCTGCTGATCAGCCCTGTGTGGCTACCCTTCCCGGGGAGGATGCGCCCGTCTCCCTCCGTCATACAATGTGTCCCTTTGTTTCACTCTTTTGCAATTTAGGCTTTTTCTGGCACCAGTTCCTCACGCTCCTGGATTAGGAAGCTGATAGGGAGATGTTTCACCATCGCTGTCCTTCCCAGCTCCTAAAAGCCTTAATGGCTAGCACGGGCTTTTTGCTGTGCTGGTCCCGCCAAGAACGGACTTGGGGTGAAGAGCTTGGGCATCCTCGGGCATAGGCTCCTCACCAGCCCCCCAAGACACACAGGGTTTAGCAGCCTGTGCCAGGTGCTGGGAACATCACGGGGTCTGCCGCATGTGTCAGCATCTCCTCAACACTGGGAATAGGCAGGAACTACCAATGCCCTCGATTATCGTCAGGCAGCAATTATGGCTGCTGGGAAAGGTCACCTCCTAAGACTGGCTGGCAGGTTTCCGGCTTGCTGGCGTGCCCAGATTTGTAACGTCTTTCTTTGCTCCCTGTTAAGAAATAAGCATTCAAGAGGAAATCTGCTGGGGGGGGGGGGGGAATATGTGTTGGCCATCTCCTAGCACCCGTGCAGCAGCGTGCTGGGAGCAAGACACCGTGCCTCTGGCCAAATTCAACAGCATTAGGGCAGATACAGGAGCGATGAACCACACCTCCCGTTGGGAAAAAGCAGCATTGTCCCACTGGAGACCCTCACTCAGCACCTTTCATCTGATCTGGAAAAATTCCTCTTCCATCATCTCTGCAAAGACCCCCAAACTCTGCAGGAATATCTCAGCTCCTGGGAAAGCCCCTGCACTGTCAACGACCCATGATGCTGCCTTCCTGCAAACATTTCTTTTCATGTTTCCTTGTTTTGCCCTAACGAGTTTGGTGTGTCCCCTCCCTTGTTAACAGTGGGAGCAGCCAGTTCCCGGAACCAGGCAAGAAATCGCTGTCGGGGTGTGCTATGTAGCCTTGCACAATTCCTGGGGTTATTGCCCCAAAGAAAATTTGAGGGTGTCACAAATCATAGCTCAGGGAGAGTATAAAAGATACCTCACCTCCACCGCACCGTCACTGCTCCTGTCCGCTCCTCTCCTCCCGTGCACCGCCGTCTGCAGAAGTCAGCCCCAGCATCGCTCGTAGGTGAGTAGGTCCTCGCCAAACAGTGGCTTCAGGCTTCGTGCTGCTGCAAGTGCCACTGGGATGAGCCTGACCCCACTGAGACGGCCCTTTCTCCTCCGGTGGTGTTTAATGTTTACTGCCTGTCCCTTCCTAGCGAAATGAAAACCGACCTGGAGCTCGCCTTGGAGTGCGCCATCAACATCTACCACCAGTACGCCATAAAGAACCCCATAGATGACTACCTGAACAAGTCCGAGTTCTCGGAGCTGCTGAAGGAGACCGCCAAGCCCTTCCTCCACAACACCGTGCCGGTAAGAGCTGAGCATGGGCTGGCTCTCCTAGCGCTGGCGAGAGCTTGCAGGAGTGGTAGCATCCTTGGGGCGTTGTGGTGGCTGAGAGCCTCCCAAGGGGGAGGGTTTTTCTAGGTTTTCCCTGAAAGTGTGCAAGCCTTGCTGGGAGAGCCTTGTGCTGTAGCTGCAGGCTGGCAGGGCGACCCTGAACTCCGCTGCGCTTCAGGGTGACTCTTTTTCATGTTTGTCCTGTTGCAGCCTAACATGTCCGTCGATGACTACATAAGCAAGCTCTTCACCAAGGCAGACAGCAACTATGACGGTCGCCTGAAGTTTACCGAGTTCCTGACCACGCTGAATCTCGTAGTCATTGATGCCCATAATAGGTCCCACCAGCATCCAGATACCGGTCACGGCCTTGGCCACAGCCACGACCACGGCCACGATCACGGCCACGACCATGGTCATGGTCCCCGCAAGTGAAGTCGTTCCCAGGGTGGCTGCGCCCACAGGATTGTTCACTTCCAGCAGCATCATCCCTTCCCTTTGTCCGCAAGCATGGGAAAACCTGTAACCAAAGCTTTGTCATCTGTTTCTGCCTATGGCATTGAAATAAAATTTCTTTCTTCAAGCACCAAATGTATCTGTATTATGTGTCCTGTTGTCTCCAGGGAGGGTGCAATGTGCGCTCAGCCCGTGGCTATGGGGGGGTTAAATGCGGGTTGAACTGGGGAAGCGATGGGAAAGGGAAAGCAGCGTGGGGGGACCCTGCTCCCTGCAGAGCGGGGAGCCAGGACAACAGTGCTGCTGGGTCCCAGTTGAGCAGCACTGGTCGATCGTGAGGGCACGTCAGACCCCGGCGTGCTCCCATTGCCTTCCCGAGGCTCAGCGGGTTCCCTGCACAGGGTGGTTGGTCCCAGCACCCTTCGCCTCAGCAGACAGAGGGGTGCATAGCACCCCATCACGCTGGGAAGGTCCCTGGGTAGGGGCGGGCGATGGCTGCACGAGAATGTCCTCAACCCTGGTTCTCTCAGCCCCTCTTTGCACCAGCTCCGAGACACGTCAGGGGTGAAGCGCAGCCAGGGACTTCTTCCCCGGGTGGCCGCCAAGACCCAGCTCCGGAGCTGGGGGTGCAGCATCCTGGGGGGGCACACGCAATGCTTTTGCAACCTGCAAAGCAGCAGGCGCTTGCCTTGCAAGCCCTGGCATGGCAGAGAATGAGGCCAAGGGGGTCTGGAGAGCTTGTGTTAACTCTGCACAATGAAGTTGGATGTTTTTTTTTTAGCGTGGGGCAACAGCCCGCCGAGTCACGGCACATTTACAGGCCACTGCAGGCTCCTGGGAAGCAGAAACACGAGCGGGAAAGAGCTCCTGTATCTGCCAGTGTCTGTGCACTGAGTGGGAAACCCTCAGGCTCAGGAGGCTCTGACATTTCCAACATCAGCTGAAACCAGAAGCCTGTCCTGTGTGAAACTGAGCTGCAAAAGGAAATTTGTGACTATCGTGTGGTTATCTGCACTCAATGACACAGGTGATGGCTCTCTGGCTCCACAATTTTGCCGTTGGGGAGAAGCCCTTGTCCCCCAGAGGCAGGTGTTAGTCACAGTCCTGACAGGGCACCCCCGTATCACTTGGGCATCACCAGCCGCCTCCCCTACAGGTTTTGGGGAACACCGCTGGGAAAGATGGGAATTCAGAGCCCACAGGTGTGTGCGTGGGGACTACGCAAGTGCCCAGGTCAAAACCCAGCCTCAGCTGATACTTTGCAAGGCCAGCTGGGGAATGAGGATGCAGTTTTGGATTGCTGACAGTCCCTAATGAGTGGAGCAGGAAAACAAAAAAAGCAAAGTGAGTCAGGGATACCAGAATAAATCTCATGCAACCGTTCTTGATACTGCCCCCAGGACACGCAAGACGCATCCTCAAACAAGAATAGTTACCCTTTTGTTCTTCTGTTCCAACCCTCTTCCTGGAGCCTATTGTCTTATTTTTACATCTTTTTACAGTCTCTTCATTCTTCTGATACCGGTTCTGCTAACGCAAGACGGGTGGCACAAAGGTGACTTGCAAAATACTCGCTAGTTACTACTCCAATCAGGAAAGACCCTGACCTCCGATTTTCTTGTTTTATGCCCAGTTTCCTCCACAGAGTTTCTGGAGCAAGAGGAAAGGTCTGCTGCAAGTTCTGTGAAAAGAAAGTAATGGAAAATACTCCGGAAAACAATTTATTAAAAGGTAGATGCTGCCTTCATCTTTGTTAGTGTTCAACCAGTATCGTGGAAAAAGAGAGATCACATTAAAAACAACTGAGGGACAAAGTTACCCACTTCTCTCTGAAACAGCCCATCTTTCTTCTACACTGACATGCAAGCACACAAAATTTTCAGCACATTGCAGAACTTACAGAGTTTTGGCAAGTTCCACCGAGATGGATTTGCCCTTTACGCTCACGTTGAGGTGCAAGAGGACACCCAGTGTTTTTCCCATTCTTTGCCCAGCACACAAGCAGCTCAGCCCTGTTGGAGGTGATGGTGGGGTGGAAGGACAGCATTTCCAAAGCCCAGTGCGTGCAACCAGGTGTGTGCAGAGGTATGAGACAGGGAGGGGTTCAGAAGTTCCCACCTTGCAATTTCCAGGTACGGGAAATCTTAACTCAAGCTGTTTCTTGCAGCAGGTGTGTCACCATCTCTGATGAAAGAGGACCTCAGACATGTATAAAAGGGCTGCCCAGGCTCTCAGATCACTGCTACAGATCCATCCTCTGCAAACCCTCCTTGGACACAAGGGTAAGTAACACCGCGATGGTTCTTGCAGGAAATGAGATGAGGGACTAAGGATTTTGAATACGGCACTTTGTGCCGTGCCTGTTTTATTCCAGGGTGATTCTTTCTGCTTGGGGCAGGGTAGGAGGCTGGTTTTGGGTACAACGAGACAAGTATAAATTAATGGCACTTCTGTGCCATCTTTAGTGGAGGTGTTGTTGTTTCCACTGTCAAGGGGAGAGCCCTTTGGGGGTGTCACCTGCATGGTGGAACCCAACAGAGAGCAGGGGCTCAGTGCTCAGTGTCTGCAGTGAAAAGGTGAGGAGAGGGGGATTCGCAGAGAGAGGAGGAGGAGGTCAGGCAGAGGCTGCAATGGAGCCTGTACCTGAACCGTGCTCCCTGCCTTAAAGTCATCCTTGCTGTCAGATACATGACTACAGCCTGATGAGGTTGTCTAACTTGCCTGACAAATGCCTCCAGGTCAGTAAAAACAAGCCACTTCTTGGGCAAAGCGAAAGTTGGAGGTGGTTGGGCGATGCTGTAAAAAACTGTATTCCTAAAACCACTTATTACCACCTGCTCAGCGCCGAGGAGCCGCCGACTGCCGCCGGGCGCGCTGGGCACTGCTGGCTTGCTCAGCCCTGGTGAGATGAGGCTGCGGGTGCAGATCTCTTGCTAGGCTGGGGAGGTGCAGTGCAACCCCCCCTTGGGGTGTCTGGGGTGGGGGCCATGAGCATGGCGCTGGCGTGCCCGATTTTTGATGCGTCTCAAGGCTTTGAGATTTCTCCACACAGTTTCTACAGGTACCTCAAGAGCTCAGCCATGTCTGCAAGCACCCGGACCCCAACCACCCTTCCCAAGACTCAGCAGTTCCCTGGAAACTGCACACTCGAGAGTGCCCTCAAAACCATTGTGGATGTCTACCACCGTTACAGCATCCGGGAGGGCCAGCTCGACCTCCTCAACTTCAATGACTTCAAGACGCTGCTGACTGAGCAGGCACCGACCTTCCTGCAAGCCTGTGTGAGTGCCACAGGAGCTGCGTTGTGCTCCCTGGAGGGATGCTCTCCTCAGGGGATTGTGGCAGGGATAAGGCTGAGGTTGCCTCCAGGGATGCTCCTGGGGGAATGGGGTGCCATCCCCACCATGGCTGTGGTCCACAGAGTGGGTTTCTGTGATCAGACCCAGCTTGTCCATGTGCTGGGGGGCCACCCATGCTCACCCCTCCTGCCACTGCAGGGGTATAGAGCAGCCAAAGGGGCTTGGGACAAGAGTCCGTCCATCTGGGGTTTTAACTAGGGGCTACCTGCAAGGTAGGATAGGGTCACAATCATCCTGCAGCTTCCAAACTCTTCCCAGGGCATGCTAAATAAAGCTCTCTTGGTTTCCACCAGTGGGTGTGCAGCCCAGGGAGGAGGCGTGCTAACATATCCTGTCCCCCAATTTCAGGGCAGGAACCATCCCGAATACCTGAACAAGCTCTTCAAAGAGACAGACTTAAATAAGGACAAGGACCTGACTTTCGAGGAGTTCACCATCGTCCTGGCCAAGCTCACAGATGATGCCCATCGCATCAGCCACTCTGATGACCGCTGTACGCCAGACAAGGATTGAGTCTCCATGCACGACCCATGTAAAACTCAGAGGGGGTTGCTTGTAGGAATTGGGCTCTGGCTGCTTTCTGTCTGCTTGGATCACTCATGTTTGTGAGACAATAAAGCATCACTTGAAGTTCACTGAGTCCTTCCTGTCTCAGCACCCCCTTTTGCATCCATCTCATGGACGTGGAGAGTGGGCACTGGCTGCAGTGAACATGTGGTCCTGCTGGAGCTGTGGGGTACAGGCTAGCCTAAAGGAGGTACCCATAGAGCAAGAGGCTTATGACAGAGAAGCCGTGAGTGGGCAAGAGCTGTATTGCTCAGTGTCTGGTCTGAGCCAAGAGGGCTGGACTGATGGGTTAGGAGGGTACTCACGGCCAGAACATCAGTGCAAGACAGTACCTGAGCTCTGCAAGGGTTTTAACCATCAGATGCAATAAATAGCAATCGTATTAGATGTTTTTCTCCTGGCAGAGGAAGTTTCCTGCATAGACTGGGAAGAGCAAAGCCAGCCTAGCTTTGGGGAAGCACCTCCTGTTGTTCAGACCATCCTCATCCAGCTTTTTCCCCATTGGCCATGATGCCAAGTGTGTCTTCTGGATGTAGAATCACCTGTGAGCAGGAAAAATGCATTAATACCCATGACAACAGCAGTCCACAACAGAACACAGCCTTTACCACAAGAACAAGCCAGGGTGCTCTTAGGAGAAAAAAAATACAGAAGTTATCTGCATATATAGCTTCTAGGCCATCAGAAACTGAGATTTAAAATATTCTCCCTAAATCCCAACAAAACCTCAAATTTCAGAGTTTTCCCCACACGGACAAATCATCCGGAGTGCTCCCTCCCAACCCTGCTTAATCACTTGCCACCCAGCCAAGATGAAACACCCGGATGGTTTCCATCTCAGAGTTTTGCACCAGTAAAATATTGTCACCAAAACCCTGACAGGCTCCAGCAGAGCACAAGGATTTTGTCCCTGGCTGAGCCATCTGGGAGATGTCTTGCAGCACAAACAAACTGTTTCTGGGTGCTAAATACATCGTAATCCAGCTCTTTTCCTCACCAAACACACAGGTACCACCACCCCAAGGGGCTGAGCAGGCAGCTGCCCCAGCACAAGCAAAACCAATGCTTTGCATGTTGCAGCGCAGGCAGGAAGGGCAAGTGCATTGGCCGGATCCAGCCCTGCAACCTGCCAGAGCTCCAAGAGGGCTTGGAGAGGGTCCAGCACCCCGCAGCAGTTGTGCCGTGCCTACGCGGGCAGCAGAGCTGGCTCTCAGCTCTTTCAGGCTGGACCAAGGTGGTGCCTGCCAAGCAGCTGAGCTTGTAGCTGTTTGATATGGCTGAGGCACGTGCGAATGCTTTTTGGCTTGAGCTAAAGGACTGGGAAACCCTTTTCCCTGCAGCTCCAGGAGAAGAAAACCTCTAGGCTGTCGCAGCTCCCATGGTGGCTGCTCATGCCAGGTCACAGTTGGAGCATCGCTGGCCTGAAGATGCTCGAAGGTGCTCGGTAGCCGGGCCTGACGAGTGTTCCCCCAGGCTTTCCCAAGCTAAAACCATGTCTAGCAACCGGAACATATGTCCTGTCCTGATCACGCAATAAAACCTGCTGTGAAACGCTGCAAAGCAGACAGTGACAAACCCTGCTCTGCCCTCTTCCCGCATCAGCCAGCCACTTGCCTGTAAACGTGTATTTTGAAAGAGTTTTGCAACCTTTGTCAAGCCCGGGGTGCCCTGCCAGGGCTCAAGTCCTTAGGGCACAACCAACCCCAGTCACCACAAACCAGATCTTTCACTTGCCATGACTACCGGGCTGCTTGTGCGCTGTCTGATGCCCGCTTCCCACCCCTTCCCCTCTGCAGCTCCAGCAAGCAGATGCTTGCTCAACCCCGGTGGCCTTCCTGCCAGGATTGCAGCTCGCTGCAGCCGCTTCAGCATGGCTTACGGGCACGGCTGGACAGGGTGGCTCTACCTGCAAGGAGACCTGCAGAGCCAGGCAAGAAGTTGTGCTAGCACACGTTCCTGTGACCCTAAGCACTACCCCGACTCCCGGGTCGCACTGGCATTTAAAACTCAAATCCCTGGGGTCTCATCCCTGCTGCCTTGTGGGCACATCTGAGGGTCAAGCCACCATCCCTCTTTGGAAATCCCTGGCCTATCCCACACCCCAGAACCCATCCTTGCTCTTCCCCACCTCCAGGTTGATAAAGTGACCCAAAGTACCGTTTCCTGAAATCGCTACGAAATTCTGCCACTGAGCAGACGGTCCCTGACGCCCTGTTGCGAAATGCCCCGGCCCTTCTCCAGCTGTTTCGTGCACCAAAGCACCCCTGTTGTGAAACGCGGTGCATCCCCACCAGTGAGGGCTGGAGTCTGTGTGGCCACTGCGTGTGAACCGGGGCTGCATCCCCAAGCAGCTCCCCGCACAGTGCCGCCCCGTATCAGCTCATCTGGAGCTTACCCCATTGTTCCTGGCCCCGTTTTGGCCTCTACTTTGTGTCTGAGATTAGTGTCATGTTTGGCAGGTTAATCCCCCAAACAAGTCAGCTGAATCAGCAGGCAGAGAGCATTTTAATGAAGAAGCACTGGAAAATCTCGTTTTGCTCCTGATCTTGCCTGCTCGGAGCCAAAGCGCCTGCGCTGGGTCTCTGCAACACAGAAACAACAACAACAAAAAAGAGAAGCCACAAAGCCAGGACACAATCCTAAAAAATAAAAATACACCTTTCAGCCACACCTGCTCCCCACAGCTCAGAGCATACCTTGGGTGGGGAGAAACCACCCTTGGCACAGGCTGTCGCTAACCAGAGGAGATGAAATGAAGTTCACGGAGCCCCACCTTGTATTATTTGTCTCGCACAAAGAGCGGCTTGCTGCAGGCAGGGGATGGCTCCCCAGCACCGGGGCACTGCCCTCAGCACCAGCTCTGTCCCTGTGTCACGCAGGCGACCCTGGCCATGCTGGCAGTGCTGGGCTGTGTGAAGCAGTGGGACAGTGGGGTGCTTTTAGGTGCACAGGACCCTGTGGTGCTTGTGTGCACCAGGTCTGCAAGGCTGGGGACACTACAGGGCCAAGCAGTGGTGGCTCGCTGGAGGAGAAGTGCAGGCGTGATGCTGTGGATCCCCTTTGCCTCGTGGCATGAAGACCCCCCTGTAGAGGAGAGTAAAGCAGGTGAAATCGAAGAAGCCAAAGGGGAATGGACTTCTGTTGGGAGCTGATGGAGAATTGCAGCCCCAATAGCCAAGGTGGAGGGGACCCAACTGCAGGGACATGGCCGTGCCCTGGCCACCTCCCTGCCACCCAGCCAGGGTACGTGACACACCGACCTTGCGGGAAAAGCCACAGAGACCCCTTTTAAGGAACTAGCCTGGAACCTTAAGCAATGCACAAGTATGTCATGAAGATGGACTGGAATTGGATGAAACAGAGACATTTCACAACCGGTGGAGTGGCACAGGAAGATGGCCAGGCTATAAGAGATGCCACATTCAGGACCAGCCCCACTCCAGCCCGAGTGGATCTCGCTTCTTTGCCAAGATGAGCAAGGCAAGTCAATGGTGACGCGGGCATTTAAGGTCTCCATGCTCTTTCCTAGGTGCCGGTTGGGCCCTCAGCAGTGCAAGGACCCTCAGGGAGCCTCTCCTCGTGTGAGCTGCCGTCAGTTGCTGGCGGAGGAGAACCACCTCCGTTCAGGCTCATCCGAGCACAACCCACAAGGAGAGATGTCTCCTCCTGGAAGAGGTTCCCCACAGCACAGTCCGACCACCGAAGGGGCTCCTGGACATCAGATCTCATACTCTGTGTCTCTACTGAAGATCTTGCAGTGCCACCAGCTGTTTTGGGAGCCTTGCTCCAACAGTGCCTGACTTACAGAAGGCACAGGCACATTTTGGGGAGGGGGGGGAAATCAGCTCTCAGCTATTATCTATACTTGCACATCCCAGAGCAGAAGCAGGCGGAGGCTGCAACCCCTTTCAGTCTCTTTTGGCTTGCAGATAAGAGAAAATTCAAAACAAACAGCTTAAATTCCAACCCCCCCCCAGATGACTGAACAAAACCAGGCCATGAGTGAAGCAGGCGGCTGTACCGGAGCTCCGCTGGTTTACATCAGGCTTCCCCATCTATCGTGGCTCCTGACATTTCTCCGTGTAACTGTTTCTCTTCCAGACCTCCCAGACCCAGGGACCGCTCTCCGAGCTGGAGAGGGCCATGGATGTCATCATTGATGTCTTCCACCAGTACTCAAGACGGGAGGGGGACAGAGACACCCTGACCAAGGCGGAGCTGAAGCTCCTGATTGAGAAGCAGCTTGCAAACTACCTGAGGGTGAGTGGAGTCAAAGCAGGGTTTCCTGTGGCCCACAGCGGGAGGGAGCTGGGCTGGACCCCATTGCCTGAATATCTCCAAGATCTGCATTCACCCCCTTCCCACTCTGCTCTCCTGACCCAACACCTTCTGCCCAGACCCTCCTTGTCTAACTGTCACTTTCCAAACATGCTCCATAAAGACAGACGAAGCCTTCGTCAGTCTCCACGTTGCAGGGTGTCCTTGCAGTGGTGCTAGTCTGTTGCTCTCTGGTTGCTTTATCGCTGTGGGCAAATCATTGCTGTACCCAAAGCAACGGGTGATGATGGCACAAGGATGGAACGACTCCTAACACCAGGCTATTGGGGATCTGGGAGCGAGGCTGGGGAGAGACTTGAGCTGTGAATGAGGGGACTTTCCCCTCACCCTGTCCCTTTGCAGCATGTGAACAACAAGACCACCATCGACCAAATCATGAAGGACCTCGATATCAACAAGGATGCGCAGATCAGCTTCTGCGAGACGATGTTGCTGGTCACCCGTGTGACCATTGCTACCCACGAACACCTCCATGATGTCGAGGACCAGCAGCAGCAGCAACAACAGCAGCAGCAGCACAAACACCAACACCATCACTGAGGCGGGCTGCGATCCCTGGCCAAAGGCACTCGTGCAACCCCTGGCTTTCTCCCCTCCATCCCTCTCTG